AAGACTTCAAAACCAAAGCTTTTATTTGAATTTCTCATCCATAAATTTAGAATTTAAATATTAGAAAAATTTAAATATTAACAAAAACTTATGAACGTCATGATCGTAAACTTGGATAGAAGGTTTGTATAACTCGAGGATTTAGATTCATTTAATACATTTTGAGTTCCCGTGCGATGCGGTTTTAGTTGTGAATTTAGACCTCGAATTTTAATTGGTCTGGAAATATACATTTTATTTCAAGTGTTCCACTGTATGGATAATTACAAGTATAATTGTAGATATAAAGTAACATATCACTGGGAAAAGTATTTGTTCATACAAGAGTACAACAAACTCCGGCTTTTGCTGATATTTATAAGGTTGATTTCATTAAACATTTTACGGTAAAATGTAACAGAAAAAACTTTTTAGACGTCGAGACGTCTGGCATAACGAGTATTTATACGGTTAATTTCTTTCAACTCTTTGACAGTACAATTTAATCAAAAGTGCTCGCCATAGCTAGACGTCCGGCATGTTATTATTTATTCGATTGACTTCTTTAATTCCTTTTACAATAAAATTTAACAGAACATTCTTGGCATAGCGAGACGTCTGACATGTTGTTATTTATATTATTGATTTCTTTAATTCCTTATACAGTAAAAATTAATAGAATATTCTTGGCATAGCGAGACTTCCGACATGTTATTATTTATACGGTTGACTTCTTTAATTCCTTTTATAGTGAAATATAACCAAACATTCATGGCATAGCGAGACTTCAGCCATGGTATTATTTATATTATTGATTTCTTTAACTCCTTATACAGTAAAATGTAATCGAACATTCCTGGCATAGCTAGACGTCTGGCATGTTATCATTTATATTGTTGATTTCTTTCAACCCTTATACAGTAAAATGTAACCAAACATTCTTGGCATAGCTAGACGTCCGACATGTTGTTATTCATATTATTGATTTCTTTAATTCCTTATACAGTAAAAATTAATAGAATATTCTTGGCAGGGCGAGACGTTTGACTGGCCCGAGCGCGTGCCCTTCCGCCTCACCCACAACATGACTGAGGCCATGGGCCACGGTGCCCTCTATGGCCTCTTCCTCTCTGCCTGTCAGGTACACATGACTGAGGCCATGGGCCACGGTGCCCTCTATGGCCTCTTCCTCTCTGCCTGTCAGGTACACACAGCCAGTCGCGCTCTGACTTCTGAGTGGTTTGTCAGAGCAAACTTTCTAGTGTTTGTCAGAGCAAACTTTCGAGTGGTTTGTCGGGGCAAACTTTTGAGTGGTTTGTCAGGGCAAACTTTTGAGTGGTTTGTCAGAGCAAACTTTTGAGTGTTTATCAGAGCAAACTTTCTAGTGTTTGTCAGAGCAAACTTTCTAGTGGTTTATTGGGGCAAACTTTTGAGTGGTTTGTCAGGGCAAACTTTTGAGTGGTTTGTCAGAGCAAACTTTTGAGTGGTTTGTCGGGGCAAACTTTCGAGTGGTTTGTCCGGGCAAACTTTTGAGTGGTTTGTCCGGGCAAACTTTTGAGTGGTTTGTCGGGGCAAACTTTCGAGTGGTTTGTCAGAGCAAACTTTTGAGTAGTTTGTCGGGGCAAACTTTCTAGTGGTTGTCAGAGCAAACTTTCAATTGCTTTGTCAGAGCAAACTTTCTAGTGGTTGTCAGAGCAAACTTTTGAGTGGTTTGTCCGGGCAAACTTTTGAGTGGTTTGTCGTGGCAAACTTTTGAGTGGTTTGCCAGGACAAACTTTTAAGTGGTTTGTCGGGGCAAACTTTCAAGTGGTTTGTCAGGGCAAACTTTTGAGTGGTTTGTCGGGGCAAACTTTTGAGTGGTTTGTCAGCGTAAACTTTTGAGTGGTTTGTCGGGATCAACTTTCGAGTGGTTTGTCAGAGTAAACTTTCAAGTGGTTTGTCGGGGAAAACTTTTGAGTGGTTTGTCGGGACAAACTTTTGAGTGTTTGTCAGAGCAAACTTCCAAGTGGTTTGTCAGAGTAAACTTTCGAGTGGTTTGTCAGCGTAAACTTTTGAGTGGTTTGTCGGGACCAACTTTCGAGTGGTTTGTCAGAGTAAACTTTCGAGTGGTTTGTCGGGGAAAACTTTTGAGTGATTTGTCGGGGAAAACTTTCAAGTGGTTTGTCCGGGCAAACTTTTGAGTGGTTTGTCGGGTCAAACTTTTGAGTGGTTTGTCAGAGCAAACTTTCGAGTGGTTTGTCGTGGCAAACTGTATTAATTTGGTAGAAAAAGAAAATGTGGCTAGCTCAAGCTGTGGCTGTGGTTAAAGCGATAAGGCTTTGGCTAAAGCGATGTTCTATCAATGGTTCAACTTCAAAAATCAAATTTCTCTCCCGTGTTGATCATTCTATTTGTTTCCTTTTACTTTACTGATTTTCAGGATCATTCAACTGATTTGGCTTCCATGTTGCTAAGCTTTCTTCTGGTGTTACATATCCTGATAGAGAAATGTGATCACCACCACTACCACCACCACCACCACTAAAAGTGGAACTAACACCACCACCACCACTACCACCACCACCACTACCACCACCACCACCACCAAAAGTGGAACTAACACCACCTACACCACTACCACCACCACCACTAACACCACCAAAAGTGGAACTAACACCACCTACCATCACCACCACCACTACCACCACCACTACCACCAAAAGTGGAACTAACACCACCACCACCACTACCACCACCACCACTAACACCACCAAAAGTGGAACTAACACCACCTTCACCACCAGCATCGCCACCACCACTACCACCACTAAAAGTGGAACTAACACCACCTCCACCACCACCACTACCACCAAAAGTGGAACTAACACCACCTTCACCACTACCACCACCACCACTAACACCACCAAAAGTGGAACTAACACCACCATCACCACTAACACCACCAAAAGTGGAACTAACACCACCTTCACCACCACTACCACCATCATCATCACCACCACCACCAAAAGTGGAACTAACACCACCTTCACCACCAGCATCAGTGATGTTGACACACACAGTACCACTGATTCACACAACATCATTATTTTATTTACGTACTGCGGACTAATGGTAGATTTACATAAATGATGCAATGTAACTTTGCGCTTGCTATTGCAGCATTGTTACATTCACTACACTTCTAATTAACTACAGATTCATAGAAATAATGTAATGTAACTCTGCGCCTGCTATTGCAGCATTTTTTCATTTACTGCACTCGTGATTAATTATAAATTTATATAAAAGATGCACTGTAACTTAAATTGCAGCAACATTTCATTCACTGCACTCGTGATTAAATATATTCATATAAATGATGTAAAGTAACTGTGCGTCTGAAATTGCAGCAGAATGTCATTCATTACACTAGAAATTAATTATAAATTTCTAAAAATTATGTAAAGTAACTGTGCGCCTTTATTCCAGCACACGATGCGCATCATGCGTGCAGAGCGCGAGGCCCTGCTGTCCGTGGTGCGGCCGTTCATCCACGACCCGCTGGTCGAGTGGAGCAAGGGCGACAAGGCCGCTAAGAACACCGGCGAGATCAACAACGAGAAGGTTCTCTTCAAATTAATTATGAGAAAATTTATATCCTAGGGCATGATTTTTGGCATAGATATGACATTAATTTATATAAAACGCTCAGCAAGGGCGACAAGGCCGCTAAGAACACCGGCGAGATCAACAATGAGAAGGTTCTCTTCATATTACTTATAAGAAAATCCATATCCTAGGGCAGGATTTTTCGCATAGATATGACGTATGAATTTATTGATATGTATAGTTTAACTCTACACGCTGGTCGAGTGGAGTAAGGGCGACAAGGCCGCTAAGAACACCGGCGAGATCAACAACGAGAAGGTTCTCTTCAAATTACTCATAAGAAAATTTCTATCCATGATTTTTGGCATGGATATGAATATGAATTGATATGAAACGCTTATCTCAGTAGGTCCTCTTCAAATTACTCAAGAAAATTTCGATCCATGATTTTTGGCATGGATATGACATATAAATTGATATAAAATGCTTAACTCAGTAGGTCATCTTCAAATTACTCGTGAGAAAATTTCCTATCCATGATTTTTGGCATGGATATGACATATAAATTGTTATAAAATGCTTAACTCAGTAGGTCCTCTTCAAATTACTCATGAGAAAATTCCTATCCATGATTTTTGGCATGGATATGAATATAAATTGATATAAAACGCTCAACTCTATGTATATTCTCACATTGTTGCCTCGTCATTATTCGCTTACAGTTTGTCAACCCGTGGAAGGTTCTTCACTTGCTTGAGTCAAATAAAAACGATTAATAAACTATACCGTCAACTGGGGTGACTTCGGCCGCCGGGGTGACTTCGGCCTCGTTTTTGATTTCGTTTTGCAAACAAAAGCGGGAACATAAACGATGGCCAAAGTCACTCCGGCGTTTATGACCTCGTTTACGACCCCGTTTTTGTTTGCAAAACAAAATAAAAAACGCGGCCGAAGTCACCCCGGCGGCCGAAGTCACCCCAGTTGACGGTAGTTAAACATTGATGAAAATAATTAATATTTTGCAATGACCGCTCCCTCCAAAAAAGTTGATGAAATATCGGAAATAGCACCAAATGAAGGTCCCAACTCATCAGTTTCATGAATCACCTCCATTTTAATTCTCCTCTGACCAGACAAATCAGTGATATAATGATTTAGTTCATATTGTGCTGATTTATTTATCGTTTATTACTCGTCCTTCTTACGTAGATAACATTCTCATCCACTTTGAATTGTACAGTATTTATGAGATAATTGATAGATAATTGTTTTTATTCACTGACTTCAAATTGTGCTGAATTATTTATCGTGCATTACTCGTCCTTCTTACGTACAGAATATTCTCATTCACTTTAAATTGTAAAGTATTTTTGAGACACTGATAGTTTTTTTATTGCACTAACTTCAAATTGTGCTGATTTATTTATCGTTTATTACTCGTCCTTACGTAGAGAATAGTCTCATTCACTTTCAATTGTAAAGTTTTTATGAGACACTGATAATTGTTTGTATTCACTGACTTCAAATTGTGCTGATTTATTTATCGTTTATTACTCGTCCTCCTTACGTAGAGAATATTCTCATTCACTTTCAATTGTACAGTATTTAAGAGATACTGATAATTGTTCTTATGCACTAACAGGCGCAGCTGCATGTGCGCGAAATCGAGTTGCGCCTGAAAGGGTTTAATCACGGGCAAGGCGCGGGATAAAGTATATATGAGATACTGATAATTGTTTTTATGCACTAACAGGCGCAGTTGCATGTGCGCGACTGATAATTGTTTTTATGCGCAGGCGCAGCTGCATGTGCGCGAAATCGAGCTGCGCCTGAAGGGCTTGATCACGGGCAAGGCGCGGGGCTTCACCATCCCGCTGTCCGTGGAGGGCCAAGTCAGTCTGCTCATCTCTGAAGCCACGGCAGACAAGAACCTCTGCCAGATGTACATAGGATGGGCGCCCTACCTTTAACTATAGGATAAGCGTCCTACCTTTAACTGTAGGATGGGCGACAAGAACCTCTGCCAGATGTACATAGGATGGGCTCCCTACCTTTAACTATAGGATGGCAGACAAGAACCTCTGCCAGATGTACATAGGATGGGCTCCCTACCTTTAACTGTAGGATGGGCACCCTACCTTTAACTGTAGGATGGGCGCCCTACCTTTAACTATAGGGTGGGCGATATGAACCTCTGCCAGATGTACATAGGATGGGCTCCCTACCTTTAACTGTAGGATGGGCGCCCTACTTTTAACTGTAGGATGGGCGCCCTACCTTTAACTATAGGATGGCCGACAGGAACCTCTGCAAGATGTACATAGGATGGGCGCCCTACCTTTAACTGTAGGATGGGCGCCCTACCTTTAACTGTAGGATGGGCACCCTACCTTTAACTGTAGGATGGGCACCTTACCTCTAACTGTAGGATGGGCGCACTACCTCTAACCAGTGTCAGTGCGTCCTGTTTGTTAGATATGACTGAGCGCCCTACCTTTAACCATTAAAAATACCTGTTTTGAGGTCCTGTTCAGTTGTATGGTATTTTTAGGTCCTGTATTGGTATTATTAGGTCCTGTTCGTTGAGTATGGCTGCAAGCCTTACCTAGATCTGTTGGAAATGCCATGGCCTGGTATCAGTAGGTAGTTTGTTGGGTATAGATAGCCACTTCATTTTTATCACCATCAAAAATTCCTTGCCATGTGGTATCAGTAGGTCCTGTTTGTTGGGTATAGATGGCCACTTCACCTTTATCACCATCAGAAATACCCTGCCATGTGGTATCAGTAGGTCCTTTTTATCGAGGATATAACAATTATATAAAGGCTTATTTATAGTTCTGTAAAATGACATGTTTTTGGCATCAGTGGATCATGTTAGTAGTTTAAGAATGGAAGCCTTACTGTCACTTTTTACAAGTGCCATGTGTTGGGTGTTATTGAATCATGTTCGTAGAGTATGGATGGAAGCTTTACTTGTAATCATGAAATATACTCAGTGTTTGAGTCACATGACTTGGTTAATTATATGTCTTCAAGTTCAAAATGTCTACACAAGTAGGCATTAAACAAGTATATGGAGCCAAATACTGAGGAATTGTTTAGATACAATTTTTTGGTCCATTGGAACCTATGCCTAGACGTTGTCTGGGCTAACATAAGTTGTAAATTCAAATCGAATCGCTAACAATTCGTAGATTTTATCGGTTAAGAGTTTCAAGACTTCATATCAGTTAATTAAATGAGGAATATTTGTAAATTTGGTTTGGTAAAAAGCCCTTCTCCATGATGAAAAAAACTAAATTTAAACGGAAAAATATATTTTTGTATATTGGACTCAAATACATGTTAATTCAGGGTATATAAAGTAGAAGCCGGAGAATTGCGGAGAATACCGTATGTAAAAAAATTATGTATTTAGTTTTTCAAGATGAATGGAAGTAGTTCGAGAATACTGATTGTCATGCGAAGTCTTCAGTAAGTAGTGAGAGGCTGTCGGTTCTTGACATTAACTGCTCATTTTCTATGATGATATATATTTTCTATGAATCAACGATATGGTAAATATTTTTCTATGAATCAAAGAAATAATTAATAGTAACACTCGTGGGAAGACGGGTAATTTTTTACGATCAGAAGTGTAGAAGAGCGATGTAAAATTTTGTTATTCGTTTTTTCTTTTAATAAAGGAGTGTTTTCACTGAAATTGTTTTAAATATAGTCTGTGCTGCATTGCGATTCATTTCGAGTTTTTTTTTTTTTTTTTTTTTTTTTTTTTTTTTTTGAGAGAGAGAAGAGGTCTCTTATCCCTAAAGTATGAAGAAATTATTCACATGTATCTTCTAAAGCAGAAGTACGAGTATGAGGAAAAATCCTAGGGCTCTGTTATTTTGAAAATAATGGCTGCAATTTCGTATATCTCGAGCATTATTATCTATTGAGAAGAGACCCAGAAGATAGTGTGTGGAGTGGCCATTGATTTAATCCTGCAGTTTATACGTTACCAATTTGAGTCTTTGTTTATTTTCAAAACTATACTTTCTATCTCGTTCTTCTTAATGTAAAAATTTATAATTAAAGAAAGTTCGTTCTTTTTCGAATCTATATAGAGTTAGTACACTTTTTTCGAGCGTAAAATAAACGAATTGTCATTATTAGGTTACCAAGTACACATGTTGACAAAAATTTAGTTAGCTCATTATTTTCAAACAAACGGACAAAATAAAATAACTTGAGACAATATGTAGGGAATTGCATCGCGATAAAGATGAGGCTTTTTCAGATGTTACTCGAGTGCCAAGCACATAACTCCGCCTTGATAGGGTAGGTGTTACTTTTTACACTGTGGCCCTTCCGAAAACTTGTTTCGTACAAGCAACAGGCTCTGTTATCCAACGATGGGGGAGGCAAAAATGGATCTTAACCCTTTACCGCCTGACATGAGTAACCGGAGCAATATTGTCACGCGCCTACTTCCCAAAAAGGATACGTTCTAGTGAGCGCAAAATGACTTGCACTGATGGCTGCCACCACGTACGTCAACTTTAAAATGTTCAATGTTGTGTACAAACGTCCTCAGGTTGCTACACTCAATAGTTTACGCATAAATCATAATTTAAGTTCAAAGTTATGTTCCCGGAGAGTGACGTACGGCGGTAGAGGTTAAGCAACAAGTAAACCGATTAGACTCTGCGTTTGGTACATTTTTCAGTCGAGACGGGACGATACAGCAAGGTTTGTCCGGTTAGCGATAATAACCAGGACAATTTTTAGCTCTCTGCAGGAATTCCTGGACTATACCAAGACGAAACGTCCCGCTTAAAAAGGAGTTTAAAAAGTTCCCGGAATGTTCAACTTTTTTAACGAGACATTAGGGGATGTACTAGATAATCATTAATATAATAATTATAGAAAAAAATGTTTCAGATATTATCTGATCAACATTTCGTCTGTTTATACGCTCCAGGCTTGTTAATATGGAAGTGTAATTTTTTTTTAATTCCGTAGGGGTTGAAATTAAAGAGTAGAGCAGTTTAGAATAGAATAGAAGTATCGGCACTGAAGAAATAGGCCCATGGCCTGTTGCCGATTCTTCTATTTTTCGTGCTTGATTCAATAGGGATCCGGCCTTTGGAACCCGATCTTTCCATAACAGACGATTGATTGAGATAGCTGCTGGACTTATTGCCTGGTCCGTAATTTGCTAGGCATTTTAAGACTGAACATATGCTCCAGCATAGCTTCGTCCGGACTTATTGCCTGGTCCGTAATTTGCTAGGCATTTTAAGACTGAACATATGCTCCCACATAGCAGTTGAAACATGTCGCAATCTGGTGCGCGAGCGGGAGGAGGGCGGTGAAAGCAGTGTCCCAGTTTGAAGCCATGTTGCGAAGGGACGGTGGTAAGAGATGCCGAGATGTGTGAGAGCATAAGTCGTTCCTGGATCTTGACTGCTGTACAAAGGAGGAAGATGGAGCGGTAGGAAAAATCCTGGTTACCGGGCTTGAGGTTGAGAATAATTATTTAATTTTTTCATATAGATGGAAGAGAGGCGTGGAAACTGGAATATTAAAGTGCCTGTGAACGATGAACATCGTTCACTAATATTTATTGCTCGATCGATAAGATCATTTATTCTCATGTGCATTTTTGTTCTATTAGCTAAATTGTTCTGTTGCGTATGGCGAAGCTGTGCCAGTGACATTAGAGTCAAACCTTAATGCAGTGAGAGCTACGTAGTGCGAGCCAGTGTTGCCATAAGTATACCAGGAATTCTATTGTTCAAACACAGACAAATACCTACAAATTTAATGAAGCTACTCGTCAGAAACGTTGGTTAGAAAAAGAAGAAAAAAATTATCGTATATACTGTGCACATATCTGGCTTGATAATTAGCCAAATTGAACACTTTATATTGTTTCCCTCTGTTTGAAACATTTTGACACTTTTCTTTTCCTGTGTTTGATTACATTGACAACATTGACACTTTTTTCCTTTTTTATCACAATTCAGTGTGGCACTTCTTCCCCTTCGCTCAACATGAGCAAGCCACGGAAACGGGTCATCTTCCTTTTGCTTATTTTCGTACATGCTTGTTCATTGCATTAATCTAACATTTCGGGTGTGATAACTTGTTGCGGCTGAGCAGGTAGCTTTTGGTCCGAATAACGGACTCGGGTCGCCTGCCGAAGACCACCACTGCCCTGGGTGTAATGGACCATCATGATTCCTGCCTTCCGGAACGTAGCCTTCAACACTTCAAGCCGTCCGTATCTAGGCCGTGGGTCGAACCAGCCCTCGGTCGAACGGCCACTTTTCGAAGGACGATGAATTTTGGAACAGAACTATGCTATCTGAAACCTAACCTCAGATGCGGTGAACGTTAAATTACGTAATTTAACGATGCCCGGAAGTCAGATTCGATCCGCGGCCTGGTGGTGCACGGCAGGTGGTGGTCAAGGCCGGAGGAGAACAAAGCCGAGTGGTGCACGGCTGATTGGTGTAGGTCCGGAGATATCTAAGGCGTTCGATTCAGGGCTTATTTGTGCACAAAATTGGTGGTGCACGGCTGCGCTCCCACGGACTCCAGTACCTTAGATGAAATTTTATTTCGTTGCTTGTTTTTCACATTTATAGGTGACTTGGTGAAAACACATGCACCACGAATGCATTTGAGACAGGTCAAAGTAGACCAGTGATGCAGTAGGCAGCAAGTTCCATGAATGGATGATGATTTTCAAGATCAGTGAAATATTGAATGGCACCCCAGCATTCAAGTGGCTCTCTAAAATTCAAAACCACCAAACAAAAATGGTGGAGCTTGCGTCGCAGAGATCGGTTGGACAACCGCACTCGCACTAGGCCATATCATCACTGATCACTGATCAGTAATCAATCAAGAATCATCTCTATCGTGCTCATATTGCACTAAGCACTTTTGTTAAATATTAACAATTAGATTGGGTTTATTTCATCAAGCGGTAAACTTGCGGTTCCAAAAATGGCGGGAAACCTCTAGTCGCGCCGGTTAGAAGGTAGGTAATCTATATAATCCACGCCTGCGCTGGTAAAGTTCAAACATCTGAGGTGGAACTTAATGCATTAAATTTGCAGTAAGTCAGAAAATGCCATAAAAATACCAGATTTAGGCAATATACCAGATCTATGATAATGATATTCATACCAGACACCTTCTGAAAATACCAGGTTTGTGAAATCTGGTATAGAAATATACCATCTGACGGGAACGCAGCCGTGGGTAACAAAATTGACTCGTAAACAGGCCCTGGGCCCATCGCCAACCATCAGCATGCAATATCTACACATAGCCTCAGATAAATGAGCTGTGGGTAACTCCGGCTAACAGTAAATCCGCTTTGCAAAGCACAGCCACTGCTTCACAGCGCCGGAGCGCAACAGGCGGCGCAGGTTATGTTATTTAGGAGTAGCTGTTGCGGTAGGGCCTGCTGCGCTCCGGCCTGTGACTGAACGGCGCTGTTGTGGTGGCGCTTTGTGTCAAAAGCCGTGAAGATGCCCGGCTGCGTTACGCTCGGGAAGTTATATGAATCGCACTGTGGACATGGGCTATGGCTATCCAGTATCCACCCCATCTGACAACGCTGGTGCGAGCTCAAGTCTGTGTGGCTGTGAGTTGAGACTTGAGAACTGAGAAGGCACTAGGCAGTCAGTCGTGTCGCGCCAGCCTTGCTGTGAGGTTCTAGCCTTGGCTCCTATCGCTCGGTTGCTCAACTAGCGATCTGCTGCACTAACGCTAGTTCTTGTGGCTGTGCTATAAGTTTCGTCTAGCAGTGTGATGTCTCTCGTACTTGATGCACTATTTTACCCAACATATTACTTTTAAGTGTTCTTTACTGAAATATAAGTAAAGTTTTATCTGTGTTAAATGGAGCTTTAATCAATGGAATCCCAGTGTAGGGCAATTCAACGTTCATCAAAGCCGTCGTATTTTACAAGATAGTTACCGGCGTTGGCCGTAGGCTCGAAACATTCTGACGAGATTATAGGTTGCGGTGAACGTCCGGTGACAAGCCGGGTAAGGAACTGGAGGCCACGTTGGCCAAGATGCTTGAGGTGAAGCACCGTGAGCCTGCCGTCTGGATCTCGAGCGGACGAATTGTTGGCGGCTCTAATCGAGAACTACGCCATGTCTGGTGTCGGATTCATTTGTTTGTATTTTGGAATTTGTAGAGTCGAAATTATGTTAGATGTTTGATAGCCCAATATTTCTTTGTTCGCTCGGAATTTCGGTGTCAATGCGTTTTCGTAGCCAGTTTACCGCCCGTAGCTCTTATTTCCAGTCGAAATCGATTTTCACGATGGCAAAATTCTAACGTTGCAAGTGACATTAATAAACTCGATGGTCAACCGTTGGGGAGCTTGAAAATTTGAGTGAAATAAAGAAATAATTAGTGTAGATCAGTATTTTATCCTCGACGACTGACTAATTATTATAACAAGTTCTTTTGGAGTCGGATCAAAGCAGAAGATTTTAAGTCGTTGTGAACACCGGAATTGCGAACTGGGGTCTGGTAGTGGTAGATCCTGCATAGCAATCCAAGATTCAACATCGGGGGTGAAAGGGGAGTCCCAGTTGATGGGACGTTCAGCCCACATTCGACGCATAAGGTGGAGGGTCTTCGAGAGTGTGGAGCGATGAAAGTGAAAAGTTTACATAACAT